AAGCATCTGTTCCTCGCTAACCCGGAATAATCCGCTGATTTTGAGTACTCACCTTGAAACGCACAAAACCAGTTAAAACGAGCACTTTTTATAGCCATCAATTTCAAATATGGACTTATTGCGGTTGGAATTCAAAATCTGCATTAATTTCCGGACAACCTAATATACTGTCGTTACCAGAGCCGTGTGCGTGTATGTGTACGGAGGCTTCTATGTTAAGCGGTCGAGACACTAAAAGCTATTGCATGACGATTGCGCAGAAGCGGTATTAGTTGAGCGCCCAAAGATATTGCGCTTTCGTCATGCAGCAGCTCATGCTATAGTTCATCTCACTGAAACTTCAACTGATTATAAGCTCACATATTTTGTGTGTTATACACATGTAAGCAATGTATCACTAATTCCATTATTCTAATGAATAATGCTAGATGCATGGCAAAATTGACAGTAAGTTACGGACCGTTTCACAAAACTCTAACAACCGAGATTAGAAGTAATCATCGCCTAACAAACATGTTCGGTATAAAAGTGACCAGGGCCGGTAGTAATCTACCCTACCTGGTGGCATCAATGATGCCGGCAAGTTGACACACATCGCGGAAAGATGCCAACTCCGCCGGCAGCTCGCGGAGTGATTGTAGGTTTTAATAGTCTTATGTAATCTTAGCACGCAATCATTTCGCATATCAAATTTTGATGACGCAGACAGGCGCAAAATTGCTACCTCGCGCGCGGTCGAACCTATGTGCGTTAACTTGAGGTGCCACCACGTTAACCATTCGACCATTCGGTCAGCCATTGCTGTTTGCACCAGCAATAGGAGGAACGCGCTGATAAATGGCTGCCTGTAAGAGGGATCGACAGATTGCGTGAGAGACTTTGACCTGAAAGAACAGCTGATTGATATGAGCGAGAGAAGGGCGAAATCTGTGCAAATGAGATTTATAAGGGATTGCCAAAAAAGATGATGTTCTTAATAATTCTAAGGCATTACTGGATTTTTTCTCTGTAAGAAAATCGTTGTTTTAAAAAAGAAAAACTCAAACTCAATGAGAAAAATGATAGTTTTTTGATAAAAAGTAGAATTTTTGATTTTTTCGCCTGACGTAAATTGTGTGATATCGCCGCAATTCACAAACTCGCAGATGCTGTCGGCAAAGGTGCCACCACCTCGACGTGGTAGGGGCACGTTGAGATGCCGGCAGCTCCCTCTCTCAAAAGAGCACGCTATTTCCCGTGCTCTCTGACCTGCCGGCAGCTGCCATCTTGCGGATTTCGACGAGCTGCCGGCAGGTTGCTGGCAACTTACATCGCGAAGTTGCCGGCAGCTTCTTTTGCGCTTCCAGATATTTTCCAACAGGAGGATTTCTAGAACCGCAGATTTCTATGGAGTTTTCTACAGAGTCTAGGCCAGGACCCGGCACGAGGTCGGCAAATGACAAGCTGGAAATCGTTTTGGGGCCAAAAAGCAAAGGGGTTTTTGCGGGGTCCGGGGCGGAGCCCCGGAAAAAATTGGTAGTTCATGCTCGCTACTTATCTTGACATGTTATGTGCCTCAACAGGCGAACACTGGAGTTCGCGCGCGTCAAACCGCGCCGTCGCTAATTGCCGCACGCGCGACGTCGCCCAAACGATGCTATTTGTAACAGCATACATGACTAGTTCTCAATGTATGTGTAATGATATGACACCAAATTTTGTGTGCGAACGGAGAGAGGCTAGTGGAAACATAGTATGAAAAATTATGAAAAACTTATGTGAACGGAATGAGTAATTAGCATTTTTTCCGAGAATTTCGCAAAACTGGTAAATGAAGATGTGAATTCAAACGGCTCGTTTGGAACGCGCAGATGAACGATATGGTATGAAACTTGGTAAGTACATGCATATGGGCTTGCAGGGCTTAACTGAGGAGTTTCATTGAAAAATTATGTGACTGAAGGTTGTGGCAAACTTTTTTTTTTGAAAATTTTGCGCTACCAAAGAAATGGAAAAATGGCTCGTTTGCAACGCAGAGGCAACGAAATCGCGCGGGTTTCGGTGTGTATATGCGCAATAGGACTAAGTAATAAAGTATGAAATATTATGAAAAACTTATGTGAATGAAGAGCGTGCTTAACTAATTTCCAAATTAGGTCGGCATTTGCCGACCTAATTCCCACCTGAGGTCGGCAAAACTCTCAATTCACATAATTTTTTCAAAATTTTTACATAAATCTGTTGTACACCTAAAGTTTACTACATGGTGAAATTTTGGTTCCGAAACTCCTCCTCTTTTCCTTGTTAGAGCCCAAAACCGCATCAGCAGCCTAGCTTTCTAAGATGGAAAGCGCGCCCTAGTCAATCGATACGGGAACGGCGTCTCTCATTCTTATGACTGCGTTTTTTTGATATTTTCTCATTCCTTAATCATTTTTCTTGCTTATTTTTCTTCCTGTTTCCTATCTTGATACAGCTGAGGAGTAGAGGAATTTGAGCAATTTGGGCGCTTTTGAGCGCTTTTAGGCGAAGTGTGGCCGGTAATCTCGTCGCACAAGCACAAAACGTCATTTTTGGGCTCAAGGGGGTATTCGTAAAATTTATTGGGATCAAAGGGGAATTCGTTTGGAAAACCCCGTTTGCCCATCTCGTGCCGGGCCCTGGTCTAGGCGGCATCTTTATCGAAAAAAATTTTTTTGGAAATAGGCCTGGGACCGCCTAAATTTGGGGTTTCACTTTCTGGCCACCTCACGGAAAAGGTGCCAGCGACCTGCCGACGGGACCTGCCGCCAGGTCGGGGGGATTACTACCGGCCCAGATATAAAGAATTCTCAGGTTTCATGAAAACGAGTCTTAGATACTAATAAAATATTGAAGAAGTTTTGAATGCAACTTCCTCCAATTTATTGAAAAGTACGTTTTACAAAGCCAGTTCCAGCTAATGCTCACTTTCACTCTGGGTCGGTAGTAATCTGGTTGAAACTTCGAGTTCAAAGCTTCGCGCTAACTCAGAGATAATTCTGGATTCCGTTTTCAAAACTCATAATTATGCTTAGTACTCTAAGTTCCGCTTCAAATAATTCTGACAAGGGGGATACTTAGCCGAAGTGGCGCTTCCATATGAAATATATACTATCTTATGGGGCTTGGAACGCTGATTTCAAATCTGCTTTCATTCTGCAAAGCGCTTACGAGAGAGGAGTTCTAGGAATTTTCTAAGGTAAAAATTTAATTTGGCTAAGGCAAGCAGCTGTTGAGATTTTTCCTGTGCTTAAAAGAAGCAATGATTTGCATAGATTTATTGACTTGAAGGTATTTATTGCATAAAACGCTGTGAAAGTGGTTTATGGTTGATCGCACGGATTGTCTTTTATGCAGCTAAAAGCTTCAAACAATAGTGAGGGAGGATGCATACGCATGATAAGAATGGACCATTAGAATTTGCGCACAGAATAGACCCTCTGGGCAAAGTTTGCCCTTATTCTATGATTTGGCCCACTTACCGTATGCCTACCGTATCCCGCCAGGTGGTAACGCCGCATGAAAGGGTTTTTTCATCTGGTGGTTGGTGCGCCGAAACCTCACTGGTCAAATTTAAGCCACGTTTGTAACTTCACCTCACTTACCGTACACCTACCATAATTGCTCCAAATGACACCAGAGTATACGTAGCAGGTAGACTGTCTATGATCTGCCCCCGAATAACCCCAGTGTACCAAGTCTTGATCTTTTCCTCAAGCAGTTGAAGCACGATGGGTCTGCGTAAGCTTCCTCTGACGCTAACAAAGCAATTAAATATTAGAAAACTGACAAGGACTTTGCCTGTAGCGGAAATCAGTACGATCGAATTTTGAGTAAGCCTAAAGAGCTGCGTTAAAGCTGGAAACCCAAAAGTGCGCAAAGTCCACTCTATCCTTCCATGATCTTCCAAAAAATTAAGTGGAGAATGTTCTTACACTTTGGACATACGTTCCGTGCAAAATCAACGGTTTATGAGTTTTACATTTATTGCACTGTTTTGAAGATCTGAGACATAGTTGAGCAACGACATAAATAACTGAATGACGGCGATCAAATTTTGCCCTTTTATGAAGATCATGTCGCAAATCTAGAAGTAACCTCAAGATGGGAATTTGGGATTTCTCATACATGTGGTGTCAGTAGATGTAGTCGAAATCTATTAGGTTGGCGGATAATTTTGTTACACTTTTATTCTTATTTTCTAAAATCTAAGAAATTCGAAAATTTCTATCTTTAAGGAATGTTGACGGGATGCAAAGGTCTACCCGCCGGCACTGTCTTATCCGCGGTCCGTGCGCAAAACACCCACTTTATGGGCGGGAGTACATTTTATGGGCATTTTTTGTCAGCGGGCTGGCATAAGTTTTTGGCGAACATAGGGGGATGGCACAATCATGTCCGCACACGATCACATGAGCTACATGTTGCGCCATATCAGCGCACATTCGCATAACATGAAGAACAATTCTTAAAAATTCACAAAAATTATTTTCAACCTCTACGTATTAAATCCCACACGATGCACACGAAAAGAAGAATTTTCGAATTTTTGATTTCCTTGACTTCCACCCCTCGTTTTTGGCGCGCTAGCGGCACCAAAGTGCCGTCATTAAAGAGGCAATGCGAAAATATGCTCCAGAAAAATTATGGGAGAGAAAAAACGTAAATTGACGCAAAGAAATAAATCGGAGAAAAATTGACAATTATGACGTTCTTGTGAAGTTGTCGCAAACTTGCTAGCTATTTGTGTATTTGCGGCGCCGGTCTTACTTCAAAAACTATCATCAATACATTTACAATATACATGAATCTACCTACCATACCGATGCCTTTGATTTCCACCTTTTCTTTCCTAATTCTAATGTCTGGCACAGTTTTGTGCACTCTTTCGTAACAAGAGCGTATCTGCATCCGGAGCATTAGACTAAATAGAAAATATATTCACAATCACAAGTTACAGTGCAATTCACAATAACAAACACACTGAATAACTTTTAGACTTACCAAAGTCGATTGAGATCGGTTTGACGGATCGTCTTTTCTTGCAAAATCATCACCTTTGTCCAATGATCGAGGTTATACTTGCGCAAAACGTCCTTACCATTTGTCGTTAACCACTTCCAAAAGGTGTACGAGGTTTTAGCCTGTAAAGTAAGTTAGTAACACTTCATTTTGTAAAAATAGACATACTGCTATTATCTAAAAATAATTCCACAGAATTTCACTCACCATTATTCCCATCGTAGAGGCGCCTATTCCACATGGCCTAGGCCACGTAAGAGGATGACGATCATCATTTCTATCGTAACTAAACAATATAAACTTTTGATATCGTATACTTAAGGATACTTACCCTACCAACTTCAGAATATCCTCCAACATCTGATCGAAGTCTTTCCGCATTAAAATCGGAATATTCACAACCTTTATGTACTCCGCAAGCACACGACTATTGAGTGCCTCCGCAAAACGCTCTTTTCGTTCTTCGAGATCCATGGCTGCAACATTACTTTCGATCATACCAAAAGTTGCATCGTGAGAACAACTAGTACAAAGAAAGACAAATTAAAAATGAAACTATTAGCCCAAAAACGGCCTAAAAAGTACGTAAATCTTTAAAGGACTTTTTCGTAGCGATTTACCGTATGGCATATTTCCAATTTCTCATTATAGCATCTTTACATATATTGACTAAATTACAAGTTATAAGCCCATATAATAGCGGCGCCCTATTGATCAATAATATTGAAGTTAATACATACAAACTAACATAAGGGGACAGGTTGTTACCTTACATACAAGGTTAGTTTAGTTTTAGTTCTTTTTTCACTTTTTCTCCAGTAATACTACCGACGGGGTTCTACAAGTAGCTACTGGCATGGGAGGGTAAGTACTGCGTCTCCGGTGCATTACTTCTTTAGGGAGCGCCAACCCCTGGGAGCAGTCCTTCCAAAACTTTTTAAGTAACCTTCCTTCTGGTAAGGGATCAAGCCATTCTTTATCTTAGATACTAGGCTTAAAAATAAACAAAGTACACTTAGCATTCATACTTCTTCTTCTTACTTTCAGGGTTCTTCTTTCATTAGGAGTAAGGTAGATGGCGAATACAACCTACAAAATTTTGGCAATGATAATGAGGGCACTAATTGCAAACCATCTTGTGTTATATGTAACAACGTAATGATCCATGATAATTTTTTACGATTAAAAATTACTAACTTACGTATCAAAACATACAAAAATTCAATTGCTAATTGCCAATCAAAAAATGTGGTTTATTGTCTTTCATGTTGTACATGTGGCTTTCAATATGTGGGAATCACCACTAAGAAACTACATATTAGAATAAATGGACACCTAAGAGGCATAAAAAATAAACAAGACAACAAACTTTTTTACAAGCATTACTGTATAGGTAATTGTATTTCACAAAATTTCAAAGCCATCATTTTAGATAACTCTCCAGAAAACGCAGATCCTAATATACTTAGAAATAAAGAACTTTTCTGGATTAAATTACTAATGACACCCACACCTTTTGGATTCAATGATAATATAAAAGGCTATGGTAATCTTACTAATGTTGGTAATACACTTAGTTATAAAAGTAATCACCCTTTCTTCAACTTGAAAATCACTAAACAAAGACATAATCGTGGCTACAATAAAAAAAGTGTACGGAAAAAAGAGGAGACTAATGTTGATACGATAATTGCTGAAATTCAAGATTTCATCGCCGATAAACCCAACTATTATGATATCTATAAACTGATTAAAAGTAAAAGTAAAAAATACATTTCTTCTTTGATCAATATAATAACTTTCAAAACTTCGTCATTACGCATACCCAAAAAATATATAGAAGTCCTATGTGGTATTCTTTGCTACTATCACTTTCGGGAAGAAAAAAGTACGTCATCTAAATCCAATTACATTAATGTGAAATTTCCTTTTTATAGTAATATTCTTGATAAAACTAATACCAACAAGATGATCAATAATCACATGATTAAAAACCTGATTGAAAGAAACAGTTATAAACCATACTTGCCTATTAGGTTAATTTATCAGTATCCTAAGCAAATATCTAGTTACATTTATAATTACAATAAGTTCCTTCGTAGTCTTACAGACCTTGACATCACTAAAGTCCCTTGTATCTGATGTAATTACAAGAAATTTATAGATCCTACATATAAGCACATAGTTACAGGTGATGTCGATGTTTTCAAAAATGAACCTATCCATAAGGTTTTGCTCAAAGGTACTAAGTTCCGGTACAGTCCATACTATTCTGCTAGCCAAATCAAAATCTTCTGGTTAGATCTTTTTAAGACCATCAGTAATAAACATAAAAGTAGGCATGCCTTAACAAACGAATTAACTATTATATTTATGATACCTTATGTAGATCTTTTGATAAATCTCGTTACAGGTTGCTTTTCTCCAACAATTACCTGAAAGATAGCAATTTTCCAGTAACAAATTTAAGATATTTACAGAAATTCTTTATTTTTTGTCCCCTAGATAAAGCTAACTCTAACTATGGCATAATTTGTAAAAAACTAGACCTTAATATTTTGATTGAAGAAATGAGTGTGAACAATAATACAGATAGTTTATCTATATATAATTATCTGGGAACTATAGATACCCAAAACATTGTCGATAGACACCTTAGTTTTATTGATAATCTCAAGCTAAAAAAATCTGAAAATCCAGTCATTTCCAATATCTACTGTATTCCCAAATTCCATAAAAATCCTGTCAAATTTAGATTTATTACCGGAGCTTTTAGCAGCAGCATAAAACCAGTGTCGATAGAATTGACTCGAATTCTTACATTCATTAGAACTCATTTCAAAAAATATGCTAGAGTTGTTTATCTCAATAAAAGGTGCCTAGAAACCTACTGGTCCATAGATGATATAAATATCTCCTACGAACTACAGAATATACATAGCAAGCATCTTAAGCTTTATTCAGCGGATTTCACTAACATGTTTACCAACATACCCCACAATGTTATTCTGAAAAATCTAACAAACATTCTTAAAATTTGTTTGAAAAATAGCAGCTGTAAATATATCACTTGTAAACAGTAAAGTTTATTACTGCAATACCCCAGTGGATAAACCAACTTAAAGGAACTACAAAATTGAAGACCTAGTATACATGACACAATATCTTATTGAAAACAGTTATAGTAAAATTGGTAACCACGTTTTCAAACAGAAAGTGGGTGTACCGCAAGGAGGTAGCGCAAGCCCCGTAATAGCAGACCCCACTTTGACATATTTAGAATATAAATATACTATCAGTTACCCCAAAACAAACATTCTATTTAAACCATTTAGATACATGGACGACCTTTTTTAGTTATTCATAATCAAGAAGAGTCTATAATAGTTAGTATATTGAAGGACACATATAATGACACCTTGGAACTAGAGAGCACCCGTCTTACAGATTTTCAGTGTAACTTTCTTGACCTTCATATTGAAATCACTAATGATACAATTATTACGCAACAATATAATAAAACAGATCATTTCCGATTTAAGGTAAACAAGTACACACATGCTCATTCTCATATAAGTTTCAATATTAAAACAGCTATCATATATGGTGAAATTCTACGAATCTATAGTGGACGTCATCCGTCTAGTCACCTCGGTGCGGTGTGTGTTACTGCACACACATTTGAAATCCCGGATGAAGTGCTGGGGTCCCGCCGTGCCGTAGTCGCACCAACTGCACATAAGGCTAAATCTTGACGCCAAACTACCTGTTTCTCTTATTTTGATACCTTTTTCTTTGTTTTTAGCTTCACGCACCGACTAACTTTCGATGATTTGTCGCCTTTATGCGTCGTGCGTGCTGTTTCAGATCGAATGGTTCGAAATTTATCAATTTTGTTTAGTAAAGGAGGCAGATAAGCAAACTTGCAGGATTCTGGAGTAAGTCTACTTTATTCAGTGTACTGTCGTATGTAGAAAGCGGAGAGTATCTCTTGAGCAGTACCGGTTTCTATTGCCTTTTCATCGATATGGAAAATTCTGGTTTTTTATGCCCATGCAATCCTCTGTTTGACTTGAAAACAGCTTCTCATTGAAAACTCGACAAAAAAAACCAGGATTTTCGATAACAGTGAGAAGGAAATTGAAAATTGTACTGCCCAAAAGATACTCTACGTTGAAGAAAGCAGACTAACTCCAGAATCCTGCAAGTTTGCCCATCTGCATCCTTTACCTGTAAGCAAAATTGATAAATTTCGAACCATTCGATCTGAAACAGCACGCATGTCGTATAAAGGTGACAAATCATCGAAAGTTAGTCCGTGCGTGAAGCTAAGAACAAAGGAAAAAGCATCAAAATAAAAGAAACAGGTAGTTGGGCGTCAAAATTTAGCCGTAAGTGCAGCTGGTGCGACTACGGCACGGCGGGACCCCAGCACTTCATCCGGGATTTCAAATGTGTGTGCAGTAACACACACCGCACCGAGGTGACTAGACGGATGACGTCTACTATACAGAACCTGTACAATTTTTAAAAATTTTGTGGAACGATTGATTATCCTCATAAATCAACTGTTGGTACTAGAATATTCGCCTAACATGATAGCTAATGCGCTTATTAAATGCTTAACCTTTAACAAAAGTATTTCTTCCAAATATCTTGAATTACATTCTTTCAAAAACACAAAAAAATTTGTTAGATTTTTGTTTCAAAAGCTTAAACTACTATGATCTTTGAAATTGTGATCTCATGTCCTTTTCTCTTGATCTTTTCGCTCTACCCTTAGCGTATAAATAGAGTTCCTCAGCTCAATTCCATGTATTACTGCTATCACCACTCTTCCCTACTGATGAGCCTCGGGAGTGGCCTACTATATACCCTGACCTGTATAGGGGTAGAGGCGAAACAGGCTGTTTAGTAATCTAACACTGTATACACTTATTTACTGTTGTGTGCGCCCTGCCGTGGCCTGGTTCTAGAATTTTACAGAATTTTACAAAAACAGTGTAACGAAAATCATCCGCCAACTTAATATTTGAACTTTTATAGGTTTGTCTCTCATTTCTAGAGCGCTTTTTATAGCAACTATGAGATTTTGTACGCGTAATTTGAAGGACCTAAAAAGGTTGAAACCTACCTTCAAATCTTGATTTTAGGGCCTGCGTCCAAATGCGGCTACGATGAGCAGAGCCCCAATCAAAGCATCTCTTTACCAGCATCCAAGGAAAACAAGCATAAAAGCCCACATCACAAGTGAGTGCAGCGCAACATAAATGCATATTCCTGTTCTTACTTCATAATGTATAAATGTGCTAATGCTACGCGGCCTATGTAAAACAGCAAGGCATTTGTGGCTCAGGCGTTGCGCAAGGCCTCGCGCAGAACTGATGGAGCTTGCGAGCACGTTCTATGCAGCGATGCAGACACTCAAAATAGGTACGGTTTGTGTTAATCACAATTCCCTTTCGCAAGAATTATTCCTCCGCAAAGTGAAAGCCTTTTATGGTTCTATTACAGACGTTCTATGTCCCATAAGCTCCATTCGTTGGAATGGACTGAAATATCCAACCAAGTTCTGTCGTGGTAACTGCGTCGAAGAGAAAATAATCGCGCTCAACTAGAAAAGTTTACCTTTAATTCTAGGCTGTACCCGTACTCGACCTGAGTCCAAAAAATCTTCTTTCGATAAGAATTTGAGTTTCATATGGCTCTCATATGGTGTTTACCAGTTAACAAGGAGCAGCTTCACCTTAACAAGGAAGTGATTAGCACTAATCGGAGGTCGGCAGCAAAAACGGTCGCAGCTCTATGTTTCATTACGTCATGCTGTTGTGGGTTATCATGGAAAAAGCAAGTGTGAAAATATTAGTCAAACCTTAGTGCGAAGATGAAACAAACATATGGATTTTTGGGCAAAGCCCGTCTTCATTCAACGTTGTGAAAATCTGGTTTTATAGTTATCGCTTGCTGTATATCATCTGGCTGCTAGAACGCTGATTTCAGATGTGTTCTTTATCTGCCAACCAACTAACTGGTAGAAGTTTTAAACGTTCTATGACAAATTTTCGAGTTTTGACAAATTTACTTCCTTGAAAGGCAGCCTGATGGCGCGGTTTTACGGTGGCTATGGTTATTTTGATTACAAAGAAGATTAGTACATTTGGTACCTATTTTGTGGATCATGGGTCAGAGAACACTTGACAAATCGCACATTAAAACGCTCATGACTCCTCCCAGGTATCGCTTGGCAAATAGTAAACATATGTTTGTGATCAGCGTTTCGAGACTAGTCCGATGATATACAGCACGTTTGGTATGGATGGATTAGGTTCTGACCATTCCCTGCTAAGCATTCCAGTCCACGCATTTTTTCAAAAGGTTGTTCTATGCAGCGAAGACTTTTTGGAGGTACTGTACGAAGCGTTAATGTCACATCATGTACCTTCAGATTATTTGTTGACAGCAATTAATTCTGCTGTTTTCCCATGCAGGTTAGCGAACGTCCTAGCGTTCGTCTTGTCAATCAGAGTGCGCTTTGAACTATGACTGAACTTTCCTTTCTCACACGTCCGTGTAACCAATAACGAGTTAATTACAGAAGACGTAGTATTTTGGTTTCATGCTGGCACGTAATTCCCCTCAGGTCAAAACCAAATGTATCGAAAATCAAACATACCTACTATCTTACAATGTCGCTCACCATTTTCACGGGGTTTTTCGCTTTGAACGCTATTTTGCATTTTATTATTTTAGTATACCACATAAAGTAATCGGGATGAATTTGTATTGACTTTATCTGTTATTTTCCAGATGTTGTTCAGCGTGTTCAACATTGCTTTGGTATTTGTGGGTATAATCACAATCATATCATTCTTCCTGACATGCGTTATGATCGTCATTTTGTGGCGATATAGGAAGTCGACTCGCTACAAAGCGTTTTTCTACAAAACTTTGTGGAATGAGGTCTATATCCTTATCGGTAGGCTTGAAAATGCTCAAGCTCAGTTCGCCATGTTTTCAGTGCATTTTCAATATCTTCACGTTCATATTCTTCCTAGCAACCATGTATGCGAGGTTCTTTGACTGCATGATCCCTATCTTCCTCTACCTCAACCGTTTCCCTTGGTGGACAAAGTTTGCGCAAATCACTCAGGAACATATCATGTACATACAAACTATGAATGTATTCTTGGCAGTAGGAGGACGATTTTGCACCGTATGCATACCACATTCACGAATCACGCATGTAAGCTATCCTATGGCATAATCAGTAGCGTTTCAGTTCGATGTAAGATACCCGGTTGGAGGAGAGCAACAAGAATCGAGTTAGTGTGTATGTGACATGCCTATCCACCACATCACAGAAATAAAGGGTTGAAACGAGAAGAAACACGATGTTGTATAGTCGTCCTCCCCCCAATAGACACCTAGTGACAGATTCGAATTCGAATTAGAGCATGCTGGTTGCGGCAGAGCACGCTACCTGCAGCCCTCACTCCAATCTCAAACAGATTTTTCTGTGTTTTCGGGACGTTTCATTCTATTTTTAATATTAACAGTCTTCTAAATTAAAGATTTTGTTACTTTTGAGTGGTGTTTCTGCTACTGTGTCGTTTCTTTAATTCTGATGTCAGGCTTAGGTAAAATCAGAACCGAAGAAATGAGCATAGCAGCACGAAACATCGTTAAACAACAACAGATTCGTCGATTCTTATTACGAACATCATCAAAACAAAAAAAATTACCATGCAAAGACGAAGAAACACAAAAGAATCCTCCATGAGTATAAACTGAATTTGACGGTGCCGCGCTCTGTCGCAATCGGTGTGTTCTAGTTCAAATTCGAATTCGTCCACTGGATGTGTGGGAGGAGCACAACTATAAATAGGTAATCACACCATCTGCTTGTGCGACTTTTACAAAAGATTTCTTAGGACACGCACCGCACACGCATATTCATGCCTAATACAGACTGCGCATGACTTACAACCTAAACCATTACAGCTAATTCAACCTGTACCTCAAAAACTCCAGCTTTTAAGTAGAAAATAGACATGTCAATCGAGAGTTTTCTCAGATAAAAGATAAGTTCTGAATAAGCTCTCAAAATGCATTTATATTCCTACAAAGCATTCCAAGCTGCAAGAACACCAAGATTCTGACCTGAAGTGCTTTTGTTTTTGACTTGGTTTTTCGCAATTGAGAACTAATGCACCAATACATTTTAGACTGCCGAAGAACTAAATAAATGGATGATTTGCGTTTTACAAATCTTTTTACCTACTATTGTTGAGATACCAATATATATCTTTTATAATTTCGAATACGGATATACGGGTAATTTGAAAGTGCCACTGCTGTTGGGCACGACCAACGACCACTACTATGAGGTCAGTTTTCGGTAGATATAGGAGTGAAAAAGAGAATACTTTAGGTTGCCTTTTCTATTTGTGTGATATATCTAATCGGCGCATTCGCGCTTTGTGTTTTTGGTTACATATCCCTGTTTTACACAGTGCGAAAAAGAGCGTGAGTTTACTGTTTTTTCATCGGAGCTTTTTGCAAGAGTTGATTGCCTCGTTTTCAGAAATCGTAATGAGACAAACATTATCATCCATGGCGGCTGCCTTTTGTTAGCACTTGGTGCTCTATCAGCATGTACTATAGTCCGAGGGTTTCGTATATTAGAGGTAAATTTGCTGTAAACTTTGAAATTCATGACGTGACACACTTTATCAAACACAATTTCGACTTCCAACACCATCCCAAATTCACTTCAGAAAAGCAAATACATGCGAATATTCTACTTCTCTACTTCGCTGTGGATCCCATGCACTAATATAGCAGCGACCATATGCGTAATAGGACCCATACGAAAACACATCCTCGCCCCGTTCAAGGAAAAAGCAGACACGACTGTGTTACCCAATACTACCCTACTTTGAGAAATCATGGAATGAGTTTTGAACACTGTTCCAATATTTGATATATACAGCCATGGCATAATTTCTATGTTCAAACAAATAAAGATACCATTTTATGATTTCACACGAAAGCACGCACATATTTTGTCCTTCTAACGTTGTATTTAGTTGCAATTTGCTGCCGATTAGGCAATTTGCTCTTTTATATAGATAATAGCGAAAGCTTTCCAAGAATTTACGACAGAGTAGGTTTTGCGATTGTTATGGAATTCTATGATGTCCATATTTAGCTATTAACTAGAAAATAGAAAATTTGCTACTCATAAATAGTATGTCAGGTGATCTTGAGGGCTCACCCGATGTTGAAAACTGAAGGAACGAAGGAACAAAAAGCCTCAAACAAAACGCTGGAACCTCACCTTATTAAAATGCACGAAAGAATTGTTTTGCATTTGGTATTCAGCTTCAGCTAGTTCGGGACAAATGGTTATGAGAGCAACTCTGTAACACATTGACACATCGTACGTGTACTGTCATTTCGGGCAATACGACCCACCGGTGGGTCGTATTTCGAAAGCTCTAACTTTGCCAGCATGCGATGGAATTCTACGGTATTCTGGCACATGAGAAGCTGGAATTTTTTAGCTGGAATTTCTCGCAGAATGGTGCTGTTTTTGAGAGTTCACATGCACAAGAAGTACAGAGAGAACATGAGACTGATGTCAGCCCCATCAAAAATTATCGATTTTATTGATTTTATTGATTTTTCGAATAGTTCATCCCAAAGCTCAAATTTTGCATATATAGGTTTTTTAGCATGCTGATTACGAAAATGATAGTCTCAAGTTCTAATAGCACTCTCTTACATCAGTTTCTTGATTCTCAAAAAAAATTCTATCGTACTGCTACCGTGTCCCACTGTGGGAAAGTAGTGAACAAAGTGGACACTATAATCGTGATCAGCATGTGAAATAACCCCAAAACACAATTTTTCACGAAAATCCATAATGTTGGATTCGGACAGAGTGACTACCGTAATCTCACCGTATACTGCCAAAAACCGAAACAAATCATATTATATATAAAGCTGAATGTCTGTTTGTCTGTCTGTATGTCTGTCTGTATGTCTGTCTGTCTGTCTGTCTGTACGTATGTTCCGAATAGAAAATTCCATTTCTGAACCGATCCGGACCAAACTTGGCACACATACACTACGGGCCCCGGCGGGTGTCATAGGCTACTTTTCGTCATCGATTGATGTCGATTTTATCGATTTTTTGCAGAGTTACCTACGGGGCTGGGAGTTGGCACAGGGGGGTAATCGAGCATGCTGATCACCCCCGTGGGGGTGATCAGCATGCTCGATTACACCCCTCTGCCAAATTCCAGCCCCCTAGCTCAAATTTTGCAAAAAATCGATAAAATCGACATCAATCGATAACGAAAAGTGGACTGTGACACCCGCCGGGCCCGAAGTGTATGTGTGCCAGGTTTGGTTCGGATCGGTTAAGAAATGGAATTTTCTATTCGGAACATACGGCGGAGCCGGGTAAGCCAGCTAGTATTTTGTTAATCAGCGCCTTCGATAACCCTTGTGGGGATATTCTCAGAAACGTGTTTTGAACTTCTTACAAAACGACTACCATTTCGGACAATACGACCCACGGGTGGGTCGTAAGTTTGGCAGAGCAAAGAAGGCTCCTGTCCGAAATGGCAGTAATCGAAAAATCGGCCTTGTCGTCAATGTGTTAAAGCACAGGTAGAACAGATGAAAACTCGATAATAAAGTCTACAGGATCACAGCTTCCATGGAAGTATGGTGAAAGAGTGCTTAATCTAGAAATACGCTTTGAGTTCAAGCTTTTTCCTATTAAGGGAAAGTCTGGTAAGAATGACAAGAAAAATGAGTGATGTCTACTGTGGAAACAGTTGGAAAACTCAGAAAATCCAATCTCCTGCCCTCGTTTCCCATTCCTATCGCATACAATTGCAGCGCACGTTTCAGGCGTAGCACTCTCACAGCCTGGAGCGCTTTGGTTCAGAGACGATATTGTGTTTGCGGATCAGCAGCACACTATGGTGGAAGTACTGTAAAATTAAAGGATAAAGAATAAAAGATCCGGCATTTCGAATACCTTTGCGGGCATGAGCCCTACGCACTCCAGCTCATAATAGAAGAAGCTACTGAATGTGTGCATTACTACAGTGACTTGCGGGGGCCAAGTCAGTGCTTTTATCCCCCCCCCCCCCTCCGCTCCCCAGATTACTTTAGCACCGGTTTACCGCCCTCGACTAGAGGGCTTGGTTGGCCCAGGTTCGATACCGTCCCTGGGCCCGATCTGGTCAAAGCGGCACCTCATGTCTCTCGCCATCGTCTTCCATACTGGCAGGCAAATGCACTTCAACCAGCTTTTATGCTTTCACTATAATCACATCCAGCACTGTCCATTGAAAAAAATCAGTTTGATCAGACCACGTAGTCAAAGACAAAGTTTGAAAATAGACTTGAAATTGAAGGAACATTTTTTGAGGGGCATCTTCACTGCACCCTGATTGGGAATATCTTTGAATTTACGATTGTTGGCACTTATTGTGTTTGTCATTTACGCATTGATACTACTTTCTAGAATTGAATCACTTGAAGGTGACGCTAGAAAAATACCTTTTGTCATAGATCAATATTCCTATTATAGATTTTAGAAATAGGAACAGATTTAGAACAGAGAGGGTTTTTATTATGAATAGAGAAATGTTAGGAGTGTTTTGAGCACTGATAGGTTGATGCATAGATTTTATCATGGGTGGTATTGCAATACACTGAATCCAAAGATGTTTGTGCTGAATTAGTGGCGCGAATGCTCGGCAAAAAAATTCTACCTGGGATAATCCAGATTTCAAAAATCAAAATTGAAGAGCGTAAAAGTGGCGAGTACAAACATTTTCAAGGTCTTTCGATGTTGACTCGGACCAGTGGAACAGTTCCCGCCGGGATTGAAGATACAAAGCTGTTGCGAACTATGCTCTCAGTGCTGTTGCATGATCACGGAAGTATCGCAACTCGTCCGAGCGCACTTCATACTGACTTACGTGCACGATTCGAAGTAAGAAAACTGAAAGCAACGCCCTCAACCAACAAAAGAGTACTTGTGAAGAAGGAACGATAATGAATAAAACCCGGTAGATTATCACAGCAACACTGATAATTTGCGTTTTTACAGTTTCAAGTTAAAAACAAGAATTTTTGCAAAAACTTACCTACATAAAAATGCCAACAGCATTTCATAGACAACTCTTTTCGGACTACGAATGACTTTGGTAATTTATGAAGATTGAAACCAAAGACTGTGCTTGCACAGAACGTTGCGCACGAAAATGCTGTATCTCTTGTAGAAAGTTCTCAATCTCGGCGACGTTGTCAAGGCATCCAGCTATCTCTGATCAGTTCGATTTATTGAGTTGGCGCGAAAGTTCTTGCATGATTTGAAGAAATTTCCACAGCTTATCATATAGTGGAATTTAATGTTTGAAAAAATTAGAGGTTTTGCACTTCAAAAAAGTGCGTCGTAGCGCAGCTTCTCGTAAGCAAGCTTTATGAAAAAAATTTCGAAAAGACTCTTAAATTCTAATACTTGAATTTGGTGAGAAAAAATTGCGGAAAGCCGCTAGCTATTCCCAAAAAATCTGCAGAAGTTTCTTACATGATAGTTGTACATTACTTTAGCAGGCTTCTGTCTTGCGTGGAAATGCACAAACGAAAATTTCATCCAAAAAATGTCATTTTGCAAAAAAGCCACTTATTCTGCATTTTCATCATAAAAACACAGGTGGAAGTTAGATTTATCAATTACTGCTTACCTTAATATTGCAACGTTTTTTTTTAGACTTCGAACAGTGCTTTTGCTATGAAGCGCAATAATAAGAAGAATTTTTTCGCAAAATGGCTTTTCAACAAGGTTTTTGTTTTGCATTTTCAAAGCTTGAAGCTTACCACAGTAATGTATGGTCTACTGCTAAGCAGGAAATTTTCACAGATTTTTTTGGGGCTACCTTGCAGCTCCCCACAAATTTTTGGCGTCAAACTCAAAACCGCAAAATTCGAAGTACCATATTTGAAATCGTCTTTTTTAGTGGACTCCATGAAAACTATGCGTTAACGTTTTTCATGAGGCGCAAACACTCTATTATTTCTAGAGATTAAAGTCTTGAATTTGGGGTTACTATATGGAAAGTTGAGTTATTGAGTTTCGTTCGAATTACGCAAGAACTTTTGCGCCAACCTAATGCGTGGTTGCGGAGTTTCTTCAAAAAATTACAGAGATCTTCGAACAGTCGCAAATGCCCCGTTAGCTTTGCTCTTTCTACTGTGCTCGTCTGCACCTTCAATTGTCGCGCTTGCCTCTTACCTCACGCGCTCCAGGGGCAATAGAATCTGGTATTCTTTTCATCATTGTTTCAAATCCAGTTCGAGCGAAGATATATCATCTTGTTACTTTTGAACCACTGATGAGACGTCGCCGAACTCCATCTTTGATTTGAATAGAAATCTGGCAGAAATCTTCTTCAATGTTCTTTGTTTTTTCTCCATTTCAACATCTTGCTTTTGTCTTTAATATGGACAAGTCGCCGAGCTAACTTTTTTGAGTGTGCAAAATGTAGACAGCTGCAAAAAATGCATTTTCTTCATAGTTCTTTTTGGAGCGAAATGCGAAATCACTGTTCGTGCTTAGAGATCTTATGTTCAGAATGGTAAGCAAGTCAACGTAGACCACATCGAAGAGCAGAAACCAGAACCAGACCAGAACAATACCAGGGTAAAAATTCCATGGACTTATCAAAATTCAATTTGGCTCTGGCATGCATTTTGACGTGAAGAAACTAGACTTCCTAACTTTGCAATAAATCTTTTCCTGCTTGTCTAGTAACCGAATGAAAAAAAAACCGTTACCGCTTTTGAGACTACTGCAAAAAAAAGAGTAGACTATCCTTGTTTTTTTCCAAACCGAGTTTTGAGAAGGCGTTTT